AAGGACCCTTCACACACATATTCTGTCTAGGCAACGCCTGGAAGGCAAGGACCCTTCTAGGAGGTCTCCCCAAATATGTATCCACTTCCCTAGCCCACCTCACTGGAGTAACCAGTGATTGACCAAGGCTGAATAATTATTCATAACCCAATACATTGTATCCTCACACTCTATCTGCCGAAGAACACGTAACAGTATCAGGCAGAAGCAATGTTCTGGGGCTTTGGGGAAACCCAATGAAGTGCCCCTAGGAAGCTTTGTATCAGCAGAGGTTTTCCAGGATGGACTAAAGACTCGAGTCCTGACTGGCTCTGAATCATGACAAGAGATTAGTGACTTCTTTACCTTGCATAACTGGCCAGATTCGTTGTTCCAGATTTTCACCAGCCCCTTTTCACAGCCACTTATCACGGTTTGATCCTTCATTTTAACTGCCAGTACGGCCTCTTTGTGCTTGAAGGTCCTAAGGCATTTTCCGGTGGTGATATTCCACACTAATGAGGGAAAGGAAAAATAATTCATATTATTAAGGCAAGAGAAGTCAAAGCCGAGGGTGGAAAATGTTCAAGGGTGGATCACTTATCTTCTCATCTCTGGCCACTACTCGAGTCACCCATTAGTGTCTTTTGAATGGAGACCTTCCGGCCCTGTGAGGGGCCTGTTCCCACCAACCTCGTAGTATTTGCTGTTCTTACCCACTTTTGGGTAACCCAATTCTACCCTTTGCATGGCAGCAAAGAAAACAGTGCTGCTCACTGTTCTCCTTGCTGGAGAGGAAGCTGGACCTGAGGACCTGCAGTGCAAGGATCTCCCTGCTTCTACTCTATCCATTCTGTAGATCGGTGCTACCTCCCTCACTCCTGCTGCTTCTTCATCATTACCCTACCGGTCAACAGGGGGGCAGCTCTGATATGACGACGCAAAGCCCTCCTTCTCTACCAAGATGGCTGCTGCCATACAGAGACACAGTGCAGAGCAAGGCATTGTAAGTCAGTAAAGGGAAAAATATCAGCTGCTGGAAGCCCACAGTTAATACTGGTGACTAGTTCTCTGTCCTCTTCTTGCCTTTTTTGGGTACAGCTTCCATGCTACAGGTCCTCTATAATTCCCAAAAAACGTAGTGTCTGTTTATAACTGAGATATTTATTGGTGTATTCAGGCAGAATTACCCTTGAAAACCCTTTTTTTTTTAAATTTGTATTCTGTATATCTACCAGCTAACCTTTGACATGGCCATCTTTTGCTCCGGAGACCAAAACATCCGCTTGTACATCCAGGCATGTTATAGTCTTCATATGCCCATGAAAGATTCGGAGGCAAACCCCGGTTTGGAGGTTCCACTGCCTGCAAGAAAATATATGCTGATAAATAAATCTACCAGGTGACACCCCAAAATGTATCCACACGCCAAGGAAGGGTGTCTAGGTTAATGCCTGGGGATGTGTAGACAGTTTTAAAACTAGTCTAAGTAGACTGCTATTTCTTAAAGGCCAAATGGGCTTTTGGTGAAAACCAGCTAAATGCATTAAAGGAGAACTATGGGGTTAAGGCTTTTCCCCATAGTTCTCCTTAGGGTAATGGGAGGACACAAACTAGCGTCCTCCCGTTACCCTAAGCTCAGTATATAGGGAGCTACAGCTCGCGGTATACTGAGACGCCGCAGGCGGAGCGGATCCCAACATCGATGTCGAGATCCACCCAGCTCCGTGAGTGACAGCTGGCTCTGCTTATCTAGAGGCAGAGCCAGCTGTACTCGCCCCCTCCCCCGTCCGTTCCGCCAGTCAGCGCTGGTGGATCGGAGCGGGGAGGGGGGAATCCAGCCTCTCCCCTGTCACGGCAGAGAGTCGTGCTGCTCACTGTGAGATGCTCACAGTCTGCAAAAGTCTGCTGCTCCTATAATTGTGTTGCAATGTATCATTGCCAGGATGTAAACCAAAGGATGTATCCCCCAGCGCTGACTGGCGGGATGGACGGGAGAGGGGCGGGTACAGCTGGCTCTGCCCCTAGATAGGCAGAGCCAGCTGTCACTCACGCAGCTGGGCGGATCCCGACATCGATGTCGGGATCCGCTCCGGCTGTGGCGTCTCAGTATACCGCTCGCGGTATACTGAGCTTAGGGTGACGGGAGGACGCTAGTTTGTGTCCTCCCGTTACCCTAAGGAGAACTATGGGGAAAAGCCCTAACCCCATAGTTCTCCTTTAAATTTACTCAAAATGTGTTTTAGTTATTTAATTTCTTTTTTTTCTTGTGGCAGCTCTCCACAGTAGCTTGCCTTTGGTTTACATCCTGGCAATGATACATTGCAACACAATTATAGGAGCAGCAGACTTTTGCAGACTGTGAGCATCTCACAAAGAGCAGCAGTGAGCGGCCCTTGAGTCAGGTTACATGCACCTTGTTCTTTTTGAGTTTGGCTTGCAGCAAAATGCATTAGCAATATAATATTTAGTGCAGCCTGTTCAAAAACTCGTGTTCTCTCTGTACAGTCTTTGTGCTTTAAAATCTTTTCTCACCTAATACTGAGATCAAATCCCCCGCTGAACACAAAGCCTCTTTCTTCACATAAACGGACAACACGAATGCTTCCGCTGTGCCCTTGAATAAGAGGAGGGACCTGAGACATCTCCACCATATCGTATAGCTTCACTTTTCGGTCGGTAGAGCCAGCGGCAACCAACTTCCCCCCGTCAAAATGGATCACCCTGTGTGGATCGCCTCTGGAGAGAGAACATTTACAACAAGTATTAACGTGAACAGGAAGTGAGGGGAAATGTTCCAATGGGGGCACCTGTTCCGGGAATGTTCCAATGGGGACACCTGTGAGGGGAAATGTTCCAATGGGGACACCTGTGAGGGGAATGTTCCAATGGGGACACCTGTGAGGGGAAATGTTCCAATGGGGACACCTGTTCTGGGAATGTTCCAATGGGGACGCCTGTGAGGGGAAATGTTCCAATGGGGACACCTGTTCCGGGAATGTTCCAATGGGGACACCTGTTCCGGGAATGTTCCAATGGGGACACCTGTTCCGGGAATGTTCCACTTCCAATGGGGACGCCTGTGAGGGGAAATGTTCCAATGGGGACACCTGTTCCGGTGACAACTTTCTAAGAGGAAATTGTTTTGTCTCCAAGACAGGAAACAAAACAAAAAATCCTCCACAATAGGACACAGGCAATGTATACACCATCCAAAATTAAACATGCCTATAGATTATAGATGTAATATAAACATATTGATTATAAATATATATCTTGTATCTACTGCAAATATGTATTCTATTTTTAACAACTGAATGTTTTTTGCTTATTAAGTCTTTTATACTTGTTTCCATCGGTAATAAGATCTTAAGATCACTGCGCCGCTCAGGGCCATTCCACCTTCCAATGACATTGCCTTGTTGGCCAATAAAGTCATTTATCATTGGACAGAGAGAGAGCAGATGGTAAAGCTCAGCCTCCTATGTGCTTCTTGCACTGCAGCACACCTTATTGCACCTTATTGCTCCATGTGCTGTTTCTCCCTCCCCTCTCCCTGTGCTGTCCCTCTCCGCTCCAGTCTGAGCTCTGTTGTACAGGGACTGCAAGAGGTTGATGTCAAGTCAAATTCAGGTACTTAACACTGATTGCATCAAAACAATACCTTTAATGATGTGTTAATGAATACAGGGCTGCAATCATTTGTGCCTTTTATATCTGCCTAGTGCTCAGCTTTAATTCCTGTGTTGCAACTGCTGGATGCATCCGAAAGACAAGTAAGTTTAAATAACAGGGAGCAGTGTGATAATAGTCTGGGAGGTGACTTACTGTCCGGTAAGAATGAGAACATTGTACGATCCACAGAAGACATTTCTTTCCTCCAGAAACACCGTCTCCGTCTCCGTCTCAACATACGCCGCTTCCACACTTTCTCCAGGCTGCGGAATATAAAGTGTAAGGATCCGCACCCTCTCAGTATTTCCAGCAGGTGACTAAGGCCCCCCCATCATTGCTTCTCATCATTTTGTTTCCTGTTCTTGCACACAGAGCCGTCCCTATAATAAGGCAGCCTGAGGTTGTTGCCTCTGACGGCATCTTCTTGGGTCACGTTTTGCTTTGCCTGCTGCCCCTTTTCCAGCGTCCCAGGTTTCTAAGAGCCTGGCAGAGAGATGTGTAAGGGACATACACATCTCCCCTCCCAGCTGTTAGTAGCTTGGGATGCTCTGGCCGGCATCCTGCCCAGCTCCTGGCAACCAGTGACGTCAGTGAGCTAGCTGGGATGCTGGGCGGTGCACCACCAGGACACCGGCCACAGCACCAATAGCGTGCACCATTAGCGCCCCATCAACACCGTCCCCCCAAAATCGCAACCACCAAGAGCCAACCTAACCGCCTCTGCGAACATAACCACCAGCACCCCCACACAACCCGCCCCTCTGCCCCGCCTGAGGTGGTGGTTATGCTAGGGCCTCTCCTGTTTGCACACATAAAACAACCTGCACTCACCTTTACATCTTTGTAATACCTCTCCACCCTTGGTAGAATACTGCCATCTTCTCCGACTTTGGGCACTGGCACCGGTTGAACTTTGGCATAGGAGACACTGACTCCTTTGTATGACGTCCCCTGGCATGAAACAAAGATTACAAGTAACAAAAAAAGTTTCATCCATCGTAAAATTGAATCCATGAGTTACATACAGAAGTTACATAGTTACGTTGGGAAAAAAGACCAGAAGTCCATTGAGTTCAACAGATTCCCATTTTTTCAAGTCAAAACAGAAGTGATCTCAAGATTATTGATAGCTCCACCTAGTTCCTTGCACCTGGTAGCTCCACCTGGCTCCGTTTCTTGTATCCGGCAGCTTCATCTGGCTTAGTTTCTTGAATCTGGTAGCTCCACCTAACCTAGTTTTGTTGCATCTGGTACCCCAATTTTTTTCTTTCCTTTTTTGCTATTATATAATCAGGGGTGGCAGCTAATCACTACAGTAATTGCGCACCACAATTAATGTTTTTCATAGCTCCATCTGGCCAAGTTTCTTGCATCTTGTAGCTCCACCTGGCCTAGTTCCTTGCATCCCGTAGCTCCACCTGGCCACGTTTCTTGCATCTGGTAGCTCCACCTGGCCAAGTTTCTTGCATCTGGTAGCTCCACCTGGCCTAGTTCCTTGCATCTTGTAGCTCCACCTGGCCAAGTTCCTTGCATCTTGTAGCTCCACCTGGCCAAGTTTCTTGTATCCGGCAGCTTCACCTGGCCTAGTTCCTTGCATCTGGTAGCTCCACTTGGCCTAGTTTGTTGCATCTGGTAGCTCCACCTGGCCTAGTTTGTTGCATCTGGTAGCCATGTTTTTTTTACTTTGCTTGTAGTGACCACTAGTGATACCCTCTAGGTACCATGTGCAGATCAACCCCAAACTGGGAAAAAATCAACTAGTGCTGCAGCCGGTAGCTCCTCCTGGCTAACCAGCAAGAAAAACAGCAAACCACCAGCCATGATGTTGAAGACCCATACCTGAAGGATCATGGCTTCGTTCCGCACCAGCGTCTCGGCTTCTAGATCCAGGACAAGCTCCTTTGTCAGATAACACCAGTGACGGGACACACTCAAACAGCTGAAGAGGTGCTTCTTTATCAGGTACCCTGCCATCAGAACAAGACAGAAGAGAGGGAACACAATCCATAGTGAGGAACAGAGGTATTCAAGCTCGCTGAATACACAGTATTATAGTAACGGGATCATTTAAACCAATTGAGTATTTGTGCCGTTAATGAGTAGCTCGGGTCATTTCTAGCGTTGCCTGCATCAGCACCATTTCCTGGGTATGTCAATGTCACTCATATACATTGGCAATGGCCACTGAGCCACATTCCCAAGACTTATGTTCCATAGTCAAACCACAAAAACAGACCGCAGAAGATTATGTTCAGAAAAGCCATACTCTGATAGCAGGCACAGAGGAGGACTAGGCTGGGGGGCAGGAGGGGCATTTCCCTATTGGGCAAGTACACAAACGATGTACTTGGTGGAGATACTGATGTATGTCCTGTGATCATAGAACACCTGCCCCTTATTTTATGAAAATGAGGGCAGGTAGAAGTGTTCCATAGTCCAACAGGAGAGAACTCACACAGGGCTGACTACACTGGTTGGGATCCTTCCACCCTCCATCTGGGATAGAAATACCCTTTAAATATGAACACAAATCTTGGGTTGCCCCAATAGGTGCCAAGGCCTTTGGCCGGTGCCTTGGTCTTCTATATGGCAGGTACAGCCTTGGCATGACAGTTTTTGAACCTACCCAGGATCTTCTTGGAGAGGTGCACCGGGAGGCAGCGGATGAAGTCTTTGTACTTCCTGACTCCGGATGTGGACTGGAAGGAAGTTGGGACCACCATGAGAGACGGGTCGTCCTGTGTGGAGTAGTTGGTCTCTTCCGTATGGCCAGGTTCATCAATTCCGAACGTTTCCTCCTGAGACTCTGGAGAGGAAATGACAAAAATCCAATATCTGTTGGAGTGAACACGATTGGGTCTCATTGGGTTTGTTACAAAGTCATACAAGGCAAACCGGCTTCCCAAACCACATCAGTACATCAGTTTTTAGTGAACATCAGCATCAGGAACACTACCTGTGTAAGGTATCCAGGTCTATTGCGCATGTGCGTAGTCCCGTTTTTCGTACCATAGGAAAACAGGCACTTGCATGCACATCGGGACTTACACGCACAAGCGCGCTAATCTGGCGCACAGGAAGTGATGCAGTACATCTGAATTGGTCTTCCTATTTAAAGCAAGCACAGCCTGGGCTTAGTTGCTGGATGGTCTTTCAGCTTGTCCTTGTGATCCTGTTTGTTCTGCCTGATTACTGCTCCTGTGTCATGATCCGGATTGAACCTGCCTGCTCCTGATTGCTGCCTGCCTTCTGACCTTGGAATTGTTACTGGACCTTGCCTCTGCCTCATCCTTCGTACTTCGCTGCCTGACTGGTGTGACCCCCTGGCTTGCCTGACCTTGATTCTGCCTATTGCTCTGGTACCCTGCTGCCTGCCCGGCGTGACCTCGTCTCTGCTCTACCCGATCCTGATCCTGGACTTCTGCCCATCACGGGGGTTGCCCCATCCACTGGCACCCGTGCTACTTGCTGTTTCTCAGGCTCTCTTCCCATCCTCAGCGTTTGGGGGACACGAGGTGCGAGGGGAGCCTCCTCATCCAACCAGTCTCCAGCCAGGTACGTGATAATATGGCTGACCCCACCGTGTCTTCCTAGCCGTACCCACCCACTACGGGGAAGTCTCACTCTAACTGCTGGAATTCTCATTTCTTTCACATTATATACCCTGTTTCCCCGAAAATGAGACCTACCCCGAAATTAAGACCTACTACCATTTTTGGGAATTGCTAAAATATAAGACCTAACCCGAAAATAAGACCTAGTTGTGACCATTCCCAGAGCCGGTGGTGGCATAAGGGGGAACTTGAAGAGCCGCGGGAGAGAATCAGCGGTGCCAACAAAGGCAGCGCTAGAGGAAGCGAGGCGGCAGCGCAGGGAGCAGAGCTGCATAAGCCAATATTTCCTCTATAGCGCCGGCTCCTGTCACAGGTAGAGTGATACCAAATGCACTCCGCCTGTGAGGAATCGATAGTGAACGTGCGCTTCGCTCATTCTGGTTACCAAATTGCTCTTGGAAAGGTATGGCACCCCTGATTGCCCTGATCACCCTATTCTTGACTTTGCCATTGTGGATTATTTAATTTGGATTTGCATTATCTTTGGAGTGTTATACATTAAAAAAAAAAATAAGACCTACCCCGAAAATAAGACCTAGTGTGTTCTTTTGAGCAAAAAATAAAAAATAAGACAGTGCCTTATTTTCGGGGAAACACGGTAAATGCAGAGAGTGGAATGAGACTAGGTAGTGGGCGTGGTGGACCATTCCAAGTTTTGGGATGTTTGGATTTGGATCTTATGCTTGTCCTTCTCCATTTCTTGATAAATATTGGTTCTAAAGTCTAAGTAAACCTTGAGTCTCTTTTTATAAGGTCGACATCAGGGGTGGGCAACCTCAACACTCCCAGCTGTTATGGAACTACAACTCCCATGAGGCATTGCAAGACTCTGACAGCCACAGGTATGACTCCAGACAGCATGGGAATTGTAGTTTCACCACAGCTGGAGTGCCAAGGTTGCCTGTTCCTGATACAGTTCTCCTGGTGCCTATATGGCAGCATAGCTATGGTTGGTGCTCCGCCCATCTCCAACCCCAGGCACCAGGAAAGAAAAAGTACGTAAAGGTAAAGATTCAATGTTCCGAATCTGAGTGATCTCCACCAAGCTTGTGTGAGAAGTGTGATTGGCTCACGACGGGGACATTTCCCCCGAGGCCAGCCCCATACACAGCGTTTTTTTACCCATGCCGGACACTTTACGAGAAGTATGTAATGAAAAATAGAATGAGCAAAGCAAGCGACGCTTCCCCCCCTCCCCTCCCCCCTCATCAACATACTAATGACATCTTTAAATAAAATCTTTTATTACATATCTTATTTTTAGGCCCAGTGATGCCCTGACTGGGTCCCTGTGCTTCCGTACGTAATGCAGGCAGATGATGGCTGGTGGGAGGGGCCAGCAGAGTGCCATACATGAAAACATCACAGCTCCCTGCCTCACTACATCTCTCAAGAGCCCTCAGCCCTGATGCAAGCAGTGGGAGGAGTTATGCACATATCAAAATGCCCTGATGGGTGGATATCAGTCTGGAGGCGTGGCTGGTCCGGAGGCAACCGTCTAAGATGGTATTTTCCTCCCTTCGTAGATATTTCCTCTCATTTCCTGTTAAGTCTCTGGAAACAGGAAGTGAAGGAGAATCTCCCCGCCTACTACATAGAGTTGGTAGATGTAAAGTTGATTGTACAGAGATTGTACGGTCAGGTTGTGACGCGTGCGGTAGGATTGGTGGCAGGAGTGACGTCTCTGGGGGCCACTTACATCCAATATGCCGGCGCCTGGCAGTATGGAATCTAAAATGGAATTTTTGGTGGGAGTGGTCATAGAAGATCCGAGGTCGGGGTCATGAATGAGCAAAGCAAGGTCCGCCCTTTAATTGTGAGGCTTCAGGCGGCAGCAAAATATGGAACGCTTCACGAATTTGCGTGTCATCCTTGCGCAGGGGCCATGCTAATCTTCTCTGTATCGTTCCAATTTTAGTATATGTCCTGCCGAAGCGAGGACAAAATACTAGTCACCCTGATCGATATATAAGGCTGAACAGAGCTGAAATCATCAACTTATGGTGAGAATGGAACAAAAAGTATTGGCAGCTAAAACACATTTGTGAAATCAAATATCAGATCTGCTTTTCCCTGCAACAGTTTCCAATCTTCCATAAAAGTTATTAATATAGAATAATATAGAATCATCATCGATGGCTTAGCTACAAGCTCCATATGCAAATGAGCGCACCAGCTGCAAGGGATTCTGGGAGGAGTGACTGCTCACAATGTATCCGCCTGCAGTGTATCTTATAGCCACTAGATGGAGCTGAGGAGCATGGGAAAGAAGTATTTATTGACTCCTCAGCTCCATCTAGTGGCCTCAGTGTGATATTTTCTGAGTGTTACATTTGACCTTAAAAGAAAATATACTCAGAACCTACTTTTTTTGCTTCCATTCGCACAGAACGGACATTCACAGAGATTTGCCGGACGAATGGATCTGCACATTGTTTAGAAATAGACCCCAAAGTGTTTTGTTGCTCTTGGAAAGTTTTGAGCAGATTTAAACTGAGGGTTGATTTGGGTAAGGAATGTGTCGCCACCCCCATCTGCAGGGGGGGAGCACCCCCCTGAAACAATGGCAGATAGCAAGGAAGCAATAGCTTCTTTGGGTGCTTTGGCAGGAAGGGGACCTGGGCTCATGGGGGGAGGGATGCACTTAAAGAGACAATAGGCTAAATTCACAAAGCTTCAAGTCGTGTGTGTGGGGAGGTGGTGGGCCTTGTTTCCCTGCATTTGGAATGAATGCACACTAGTCAACAACATCCTATTGACTGTAATAAAAGGCAGGTTCCTCCTTCCCACCCACCTGCTTACAAAGCAGCCAATCACGCTGCAAGCCTGATCTCAGTTTTTAGCAGCATAAAGCTGAGCCGTGTTTCACACTTACCTCCCCGCTGCCTGCGGCGGACGATGAGCAAGTGAATTAGGTTGGCGGCGTTGTGTAGCAGGTTCGGGCTGCACATCTGCAGCAGCAGCAGGGCGTAGTTGGCTTTGGTCCAGTACGACCCGTTCTTCAACCAGTCCCAGGTCTCCGCCATGAACTGCCGCAGCCGCTGCCTGTTGAGGGCCCGGTCCGAGCTGGCGGCGCCCAGGTCCTGCACCAGGCTGGGGTTTATCCTGGACCGGCTGTAGGTGAAGTCTTTGCCCAGCGCCGGCCGGATCACCTTCCCCACGTACACCAGCAGGTCGGCGCTCTCCATCCGCCGGACGACCCCGAACAGGAACTTCCTCTGGGAGTTCTCGCCGGCCCGCAGGAACCATTCCCTGGTGGCGGCGACTTTGGCGGCCAGGAGGCAGGACTGGCACGCCTGGCAGATGGGCACCTTGGAGGTTCGGTTCTCGCAGCGGAGGTCCGGGGCGAGCCGCAGCTTGAGTTCCGATATTTCCATGGCTATCATCCCGCTGAGCGTCGCTTAAAGGGATACTCCTCTTTTTTTTCCAAGATTCACTATTTTTTCACGGCAGTGGTAAGCGCGACCATTGCGCCCGGAAAATCAGCGCTGTGAGCCGGCTCTGGCTGTCACAGATTTAATCCCGGAGCCGCTGCTGTTTTCACAACTTTCTCCCTATTGTTGTGGACTCCAAGGAGACAGGGAGTGCCGTAATTGCACCAGTACAGGCGCCCCGCCAGGGGAGGTACCGTAATTATTGTAGTAGAAGCACCACTGTGATACGGAAGAAGGAAACTGGACTGTGCATTGCATGGCTCGTGTATTAAAGGAGAACTGAAGCCCTAACTTTTTAGTCTTGTATCGAGCAGAGGCAGGCAACCTGAGCCCTCCAGCTGTGGAGAAACTACCAATCCCATCATGTCTCTGGGAGTCAGGCCTGAGTCTTGCAATGCCTCATGGGCCTTGTAGTTCCACAACAGCTGAAGTACTGAGGTTGCCTACCCCTGTTATAGCGTAAGGGAGGGTTAAAGCCCGTCTGCTTTTTTTTTTCCGGTCACGCGGCTGTACGCCCCCCTACGCTCACCTGACCTGCACGTCCAATGCGGTTGCGAGTGAGCGTACTGGATGGATCCTGTCTGGGTCTGAGCCAGGAAACACGCACCCGCACGGACCTGCAGGGCGGGTGAGCGTAGGGCGGCGTACGGCCGCGTAGTTCCATAGAGAAGGACGCGGGATGCGTACTAATCACACGCAGCACCTGTCCTTCCCGGGAGCTGCGCGATACGGTCGTGCACGCAGCACGGAGCTGTTCGCGCCTGCCGTTTCTCGTGTGAATGAGGGCTTAGACCAGTGGTTCTCAACCTTTCTAGGGCTGGGACCCCTTGGTAACATTTGCCAGGTTGTGGTGACCCCCCCCAATGTTAAAATTTAGGAATGCACCAATACTAGTATCTGTGTGGGCTCTCAGGTGGCCAGTGTGGGCTCATGTGAGCTCAATGGGGCTCTTTCGTGGTCAATGGTGCTCTCTGGTGGCCAGTGTGGGCTCTCTGGTGGCCAGTGTGGGCTCATGTGAGCTCAATGGGGCTCTCTGGTGGCCAGTGTGGGCTCTCTGGTGGCCAGTGTGGGCTCTTTGGTGGACAATCCGGCATTCAACTCCCCTCACTCCCGCCCACTCCGTTCTCTTTGATCCTCCTCGGCTGCCAGTGCTGCAGCGCCATCTAGCGGCGCGGCCGGAGAACTGAAACTGCTGCTCTAGGAGGTGGCTGAGGAGCCTCTCACCTAGCGCAGCACAAAGCATGTGGTGACCCCCTCAACAGTGGGTTGTGAGTGACCCACTTTCGGGTCGCGACCCACAGGTAGAGAACCACTGGCTTAGAGGATGCTGCAGCCTTTCTTATTACACTGCTGAGACTGATCATGTGATTGTAGTAGAGGCAGGCCCTTCCACTTAGGAGTCACTTTGTCAAAGTGTATGGGGAGGACTGCATCAATATTTCCAAAACAGAAGCAGGTAAGAAACTTTGGCATTCTAGTTCCCCTGGGGAGGATTTGTTTGGAGAGGAGTTTGGGTTTAGGTGAAGACGCCTTGATACCTGTTGCATTATTACAGATTGTGCCAGACACTGAACCAATATCCGCACCTATAAAAGCAATACACACTCTGTAGTCTGTGATATTGTTTATTACAAAATAGATAATAAAAACAAGAACATGATCAAAGGACAATATGACAGATAATCCTGAATGAGTGCCATTAGGTTCTGACATGAGGGCAGCCACTCTGTATAAAAGGCCGGCATGGGGTTTATGTTTTATATTGTGGTTGCTGTAGGACCTGCTTAAAAAGCGAAAGAAAAATGGCCGTGTGTCCCATACCAGCCAATCAAATGCCAGCTGTCATTCTTCCAGTAATAAACAAAACTTAAAGGGTCAGTCCATCAAAAAAAAAAATTAAATTTCAGTTTTTTTCTGGATGCTGGAGAGGTAAATTCCTTGACTGTCTCTTTTATCTTTTGGGGTGCTTATTGGTGAGATCTCTGTGCCAATTTCCAGGACCTGTACACCTACTGAGTCCATTATGAGGGGCTCCCACCATTCCTTGGAAGAGTTCCCAGGTCTGTACACATGCTGTGTCTACTATGAGCGGCTCCCATCATCCCTGTGCTAGGTTCCGGGTCTGTACACCTGATGTGTCTACTATGAGCGGCTCCCATCATCCCTGTGCTAGGTTCCGGGTCTGTACACCTGATGTGCCCATTATGAGGGGCTCCCACCTTCCCTGTGCCGAGTTCTCGGGTCTGTACAGGTGCTGTGCCCAGTATGAGGGGCTCCCACCATCCCTGTGCTGAGTTCCCGGGTCTGTGCACCTGTACTCACACAGTGCTGTACAGAGGACACTGAGCCAGTCACATCAGTCTCTGCACCAGAGGAGCTTACACTCTAATGTCCCCACCACAGTAACACACTATTATCATTATCATACATTGATATAGCTCTGACATATTCCATAGCACTGTACAGAGAAGACTGAGCCATTCACATCAGTCTCTGTATCAGAGGAGCTTACACTTTGGATGTATAATTGGCCCAGGGGCAAAAATGAATGATTTGCATGACTCCGCCCACTGTCCTAAAATAAAGATCACAGCCCTCATTTTTTTGATGAACATGTGACAAGCCAACACCGTCTGCTTATAACTTGGTGCAGGCTCTGGAAGTACCAACACCGGGTCCATACAAGGTCCGTACCACAACTCATCCTCCCTGCCCCCAGACAGACCATCAGAGAGCTGCTTGCTTTATAAACGACACTCGGCGCACATGTTGAACGGTTTGGGGTCACGCGTCCCGCCTTCGATGAGTCCGATGGGCCCCTTTTCACCCGGAGGAAATTTCAAGTTGAACTTCTGGAGGAAGCTGACAAAAAAGATGAAGATCTCCGTCTTGGCCAAAGCCTCCCCGATGCAGGACCTCTTACCTGGAGGAGAAGGGGAGGAGAAGGGGTTAATCACTGCCACCTTGGGGGGC